TCATTTGTTCGTTCGTTCATTCTTTCGTTCATTCGTTTATTCAGCATTTATTCATTTATCTACTCTTCTCTTCGTTTGTTCATTTGTTCATTCATTCGTTTGTTCGTTCGTTTGTTCGTTCGTTCGTTCGTTCATTCATTCATTCATTCAAACATTCATTCATTCACAAACAAACAAATAGATAACTATTGAAAAACAAATAATAATAAATATATTATACAACAAATATAAATCGACAGACAGCAAAACAATTCAGCCATCATTCATTTATTATAAGCCTTAACCCTACGGCTTATGTAGGATCGTTAAAATGTGCTTTCCATTCATCTGGAGATATGTATGCAGTGTGAATTATGTAGCCCATATGAATTATAACCATATTTGGTAGGGAATTTAAAAAGGGGGTTATCAGCAGTTCAATAAACACATGTTTGTATTTGTTTTTAACAGCAAAAAGCTGTGCGGCGAGCAAGAAGTAGGGTCTCACCCTCCCTACTATTCAAAGTTGTCCACTTAATTTTAACAATGACAGATTATGAGTTTTTGTTTGTTTGAATGGGTAGATGATGCATGGATGGATGAATGAATGAATGAATGAATGAATGAATGAATGGATTATTGAATGAATGAGTGAGTGAATGAGTGGATGAATGAATGAATGAATGAATGAATGAATGAATAAACATTTATATTTTATATATTAAAACATTTTATACAAAGAAACAAACAAACAAAATCTTCTAAACTCAAAATGTACATGCTTCACCTTGTTTTTCACACGACTGCCACTGGTAACTTTGTCAATTTTAATCCTTTCACGAGCGAGAAGAATTAGAATTTATATCTTCGTTGACTTGGCTTGTGTGTAAATTCCATGTCACGCACACACACACGCACACACACACGCACACACACACACGCACGTACGCACGCACATACGCACACACGTAAAAATGGCGAAACGATGAGTTTTTTGGAGTGGTGGCTTTTGTGATTGTCAAATGTTTGCCCACTCAAGGCAACGTGTAGAGAATTTGTGTGCGAGTGTGTGTATGTGTGTGTGTGTTGTGTGTGTGTGTGTGTGTGTGTGTGTGTGTGTGTGTGTGTGGGCTACAGTTGGTGTCTGTCTGAAAATGTGTGGTGTCTGTTTGAAAATGTGTCTTGAACTGTATTTAAAAAGTAAATTGCAAAGTAGATTTGGTTTATACATTTTGTTATCTAGTACTGGTCTTCTATGTTAAAAAAAATAAAACTTTAATCATTTTAAAACAACAACAATCTTGAAAGTATTTTTTTTTTATTTCAACACACATAAATTCATATACACAACATTACACAATTGATTATAACTAGATATATACCCATATACGAATGAGTATAATACGTTTAATTGTCTCAACTTAAAAAAAATTAATTAAAAAAGAATTGAAAATTGTTTTCGAAATAGCAAAACATAGAAAAGGTTGTAGTTTTACACTGCCATTTTGTAGCAAAAAATTTGAAATAGTCGCTAGTTAAAATTTAAATTATTAAATTTTGATTTTACTGATGAATAATGAAGCTTTGTGCGACAAAACCGTTTTTACACGTTTTTCCTTTCATAAAGAAAGAGAAAGAGAGAAAGAAAGAGAGAGAAAGAGAAAGAAAGAGAGAATAAGAGAAAGAAAGAGAGAGAGAGAGAGTAAAAGTAAGAGGAGAGTGTGTCAAAAACTAATTTAGATTGTAGAGTTATGGAAAAACTTGAACATCCTTCTCATTCTATAACAGCTCTCCACGAAGTCACAATAACAACATGGCATCGATCTATCCAAGCGGAGTTTCTTGGAATCTATGCAGTATTATAAATTATACATGCAATTTTTATATATGTAATATGTTATAAATACATGTTTGTATACGTTGTGTTTGTGCGTGTATTGTTTCTACTGTTTGTAGATTAATGCTTCTCTGTTCGTTCTTATTGCTACATGGCATTTGAGATAAAATGTCTTTGTAGGTTTGATGGATTTCAGTGATGTCATTTAGTTCATCAACATCTGCGTTATCACATCATTGAGAAGGAGGCTTGGTTAATAGGAAATTGTTTTAGCAGACGTAAATACGTTATTGTTTTTGTTGCTGTTGTTGTTGTTGCTGCTGCTGCTATTGTTGCGGCTGCTGTTGGTTGTGGTAGTAGATGTTATGAATGTTCAGTTCTCATGTGTTGAGGTTGTTTGTTGGGTCCTATTTATCAGCGCTGTTGTACTCTTTTGAAAGGTTGCTCGGTTTGTTGGCGTTGGAATCGTTGGTCCTTCGCAAATTTCTCGCATCTCCTGGCAGATAATTTTTTTGGCGGTTGTGCGTTTTACTGGGACGACCTGACTTGCAGAGCAGAATATTTTTGAATGCATTCCTGAAATCCTTATTGAGAAGTGTGTAGATGCAGGGGTTGACTCCACTGGAGAGGTAGCCAAGCCAGGTGAAGATTGTAATGATTTCCGGAGGTACGTTGCAGTATATCGGCTTGTGAATTGTTTTATTTTTCTTGCTTCTATGAAAACCATTTGAGCAGGTTTTTGTTTCGTTGAGGTTGTCTTCGTAGTTAGAAATGCCGTCGGGTGAGTTCTGCTTTAAGAAGGAAACTGTTGATTGAAGAACTTTTTTGTTTAACCATCGCCTGTTCGAATTGTGCGTGTTAACAACCTGGTTGTTGTTTGTATCGCTTGGTTCCTTCTGGTTATGATGTCTGTAATATAGATTTGTAAGCGATTTAAATTCATTTTTATGATTAACACTTGAATCTGCGGCCGAATTACTCAAGCCACAAATACCGTAAGATAGATTGGCACAGAAGAATGGTAGCCAGAGAGCTACAAATGCCAAGAATACCCAGATAAGAGTTTTTTCTGCCCTCTTCTCGCGACCGCTGACGTGAGCAGACCTGCTGGAGGCAAGCATTTCCATGTAGACCAAGGATCGAGTCCGTGGTCGGATGAGCGAGGTCGCCGTTTCGTATTCTGCTCTGGCGACGTTGATAGAAAAGATGGGGTTGTTGTTGCTACTGCTTTCGTTGTTTGTGTTGCTGATGCTGACCTGGGGAGTTATTTTTGCTAAAAGTGATGATTGTTGTTCTAGGATTGAGTTTTCAAACTTGATGTAGTCGTTGTCCAGGCTGTATATTGACGAATCGATCGATGGGTTCTGATTTCTTGATAGTTTTGTCGTTTGAAGCTGTTTGGATTTCGGTTTCGTTGAGAATATTTGCTTGAAAATTAAAAGTTCGTTATTGGAGGGCTTGTTTGTAGATTTTTTATGAAAAATTTTTTGACTGTCTGTTGATGTTGAGGAGTTCAATAATTTTTTATCTGCAAAAACCGGTTGGCTCTTTTGTTTGGAATAACTCGACAGTAGTGAAGTTGTAGTTAAATATTTTGATTTAGTGTCATTTTTCTTTTTGTTCTTACCTGGAAAAAAATTAATTGGTAATTGTTTCGAATCGTTTGGTTTGCTGTTTTTTTTATTGTTCGAAATTGTGAGGGAAGTTTTTCGTTGAAAACAACTTTTGAGCTCGCGCAAGTTTTGTCGTCTTTCAGATGTTGTGTGCTGTTGCAGTTGCAAATATTGAAGTTGCGAGTGAGGAGCTGTCTGTTTCAAATGCTCAACTGGCAGTGGCGATCGACTCAAGTGGTGTTGCGACAACGGCAACTGTTGTTGCAGCGTCTGCTTCCTGGCTGCAAATTCATCTGAAGTGATCTCGATGTTTGGGGTGATGGGAGACATGAGCGTGCCGATGGAGGCAACTTCGAAGGAATTGTTTTTAATCTTCGAATTCATCGGCAAAGGTTTCTTAGGAAAAAATTTTTCGCGAAAATTTTGTTGTTTCACTTTTAAATTATCTCCCAGAATTTTGAGCGATTTTGTTTTCTTCAAATCGTGTCGCGCTAGCACGTTCTCTCTGAGAATTTTTATGGAGCCAATGTCAGCGAACACCATGATCGTCAGTGGAATGAAGAAGGACACGAGCGATGAGTACACTGCAAATGTGTGGTTGAAGATCCCGCAGTGCTTAACTTCTGCGCTCTGAGTTACTTCATCGAAACTTTCGATGTCGGTAGAAACTTTTGTAGTAACATCATCGTCGTCTTCAATGAATTTTTTAGAAGTTTGGTTGAAAAAATTTGACAGCGTGTCTAAATAATCAACGTCTTTGACGAACATTTGAGTTTCGCTGCGAAGCTCGTTTTCTGAACAATTATTTTGGAAACCCCGGCCATCAATCGATTCCTCTTCAACTTCATCGCCCACCGTCTTCTCAATGCTTTTAAGAACGTAGGATTCGTGCAGAGTGGCTTGCACTATGAAGGGTATGGACAACGCCACAGATACGACCCACGCTGGCACCACCAGGGCCGCCACCAGACTGAACTTCCGGGAAGAACTCCTGGTGTGGAGGGGGTGGGCGATGCCCCGGTATCTATAAATAGCGATGGCGCAGAGGTGCATGATCGATGACGTAGATAGGATGACGTCAAGACCTGTCCAAGCCAGACATGCGGAAAATCCGAGAGGCCATTGACCCAACACCTGCATTTGATGAATTTCAATTAGTTTGGTTTCACTGGAGTGCGATTGAGTATGATGATACCAAATTGAGATTGATCAACACAATTCACGCTTCGACACACACAAACATACCTCGAAGTTTTTAATTTTTTTCGTAAATTAAATTTTCATTTAAACAACAATGCAGTCCTAGAGGCATAAATATATCATACATGCAACTAAGTTGTTTTTAAATTAAAATTCAGTCAATCACAAATTAATAATGGCTGTTTAACTGTTCTATTTCACGTACAAAATATTTCTCATTCTAAGTGCACTAGTTTTTGTGTGAGTTAAACTTTATTTATTAACTAAACAGTTAAAAATATTTAATTAGGTGTTCGAATCGTGTTAGTGTAATTACTTTTACTCCAAGGTAATCTACCCACAACTCACAGAGAGTATAACAATTAATTCTCTACGAACAAACTTTGAGAGTATAACAATTAATTAATTAATTCTCTATCTATTCAATTATCGTATCAATACACACACACAAACACACACACACACACAGAGAGAGAGAGAGAGAGAGAGAGAGAGAGAGAGAGAGAAAGAGAAAGAGAGAGTCTTCCTCTCTAATTTGTGAAGCACTTCTTTGAAGTTTGCAAGTTCTTCTATGTTAGCCTCAAATACGAATAAACATTTTACTTAATGTTAGCCTGCAATTAAGTTTTAAACATTATGTTTGAAGTGCCTGATGGGTCGCTATTATAAATTAATTAATTTTTATTACATTATTATTATTATTTAAAAATTCTTGTTAGAAAACAAACAAACAAACACACAAGCATGACTCCAATAGGTGCAAGTAAGAAGGTTATTTTTTTAGCAAAATGCAAGACGCCTTGCCCTAGTGTTTCAGTTGTTACTGGTTAGAACGTAAAGAGATCTTAGTGGGTGTATGTGTGTTTGTTTGCGTGTGTATGTGTGTATTTGTGTATGTATGTTTGTATGTGTGTTTGTGTATGTGTGTGGGAGTATGTTTGTGTATGTGTGTGTGTGTGTGTGACTATGTTTGTGTGTGTGAGTGAGTTTGTTTGTGTACGTGTATATTTGTGTACGTATATGTGTGTGTGTTTGTGTGTATGTGTGTTTGTGTGTGTTTATGCGATAGTTTGACTCTACATACCCACGTAAACTACCTATACCGTGTGATTGATTCTTCTGAATAAGTAAGAAATTCACTAAGAAATTCACTAAGAAATTCACTAAGAAATTCACTAAGAAATTACTAAGAATTAACTAAGAATTCACAATTTACTAAGAATTTAATAATTCACTAATTACTAAGAATTCACTAATTACTAAGAATTCAAAAAGAAATTCACTAAGAAATTACTAAGAATTAACTAAGAATTCACAATTTACTAAGAATTTAATAATTCACTAATTACTAAGAATTCAAAAAGAAATTCACTAAGAAAAATTAACAAGATACCAAAAAAGGTTACTCATTTCATTGAAATAGTCAATCATGTAACTGACAGCTTAGCATACTGATAACATAGTGAGGAGCTGATGATGATAAGTGGATATAAAAATATAATATAATAGAATATTTATATATTATAATTTATATAATATTTATATACTATATTTTATATAATATTTATATACTATATTTTATATAATATTTATATATTATAATTTATATAATATTTATATGCTATAATTTATTATATAATATATAATATAACATTGAAACTATACATAATTAAAAATCTTTCAATCTAATTAATGATATCTGTGAATTAAGAGTGGTCAAGCGTAATAGCTTGAAGCGCTGACATGCAATTGAAAATGTGTTAAGAATGTTGTGGATTTTTTTCTAGTTTTCAAAATTCAAATTTAAATTTTTGAAATTCAATTCAATTAATTGAAAAGTAGTTTGATAATTAAAAATCTACTTTTAATGTTAATTCGTTAATTGATGTTATTCAATTACGAAATAATTGTTATACATACAGGAATATGAAAATAATTTGAATGATTGAATAAATGAATGAACGAACGAACGAACGAACGAATGAATGATCCGCAAAAAGAAAGTTTCCTTACAACACAATGCTATTGATTTTTCAAATTCATTCATTATTTTCTTTCTTTTTATTCATTCATTCATCTACTCATGCATGCATCCATTCTTTCGTTCGTCCGTTCGTTCACTCATTCATTCAAACTATCTATAACCGATAAATTCAGTCATACATTCATCCAGCCATTCATCAATACATCCATCTAGCCATTCATTCGTTCGTTCGTTCATTCGTTCGTTCGTTCGTTCGTTCGTTCGTTCGTTCGTTCGTTCGTTCATTCATTCATTCATTCATTCATTCATTCATTCATTCATTCATTCATTCATTCATTCATTCATTCATTCATTCATTCATTCATTCATTCATTCATTCATTCATTCATTCTTACCCTTTAATTTGGATAAGACCGACCATAACAGCAGAATAAATGAACTAATGGGGAAAAACCCGTTGCAGCTAATGTTAACAAAATTTCTTAGTTAGAGTAACCGTTATATTATAATGTAATATATATATAATATAATAGTATATAATATAATATTAATTATAATATAATAATATTGCTTGTTAACCGGTTTTGTAGTTTGCATATGGAAGCCGTGTTTTTATACAAAATGATGTTTTGTTTAACAGGTTTGAATAGTTTTTTTTTTTTATAAATTTATATTAAAATTAATGTAAAGTATTTCATTTATTCATTGATCCATCGATGGATCCATCAATTCATTTTAATCCATCCATCAATCAATTCATTCATCAATTCATTCATTCATAAAGTTTAGATATTTAGTTTTACTATTTATTTTATATCCAATATTAATCTTTAACAAATGATTTAATTACAGAAATCTAGCTGAATCGGTATACCAAACTAAGAAAAGGAGAGAGAAATAGAAAGAGAAAGAAAGAGAGAGATAAAGAAAGAGAGAAAGAGAGAAAGAAAGAAATATTTACAACAACAAAAAATGGCGTTTCAAGAGACCTATCCAGACATGTTGAAACTCTACAGGAGACGTCACAACGAGTTGGAAGTTTTGCAAAAGTTGATGGACCGATTATCGAACGAATACCCGGTGCTCGATCGCGCGACTACTTGCCTGTCGGTCGGGACTGGATACGGCGAATACGATATCGAATTTATTCGGAGGTGTCTGCCGAATTTGAAAACGCTCATCGCCGTTGAGGTGAATCACGACTGCGTGTTGGAACTGAAAGCAAATTTACACAGTAACTTCGGTGACAAGCTGAATTCTGAAATCCATGAGATGTCCATTGGGGAATACATGCAGTTGTACGATGACCACAACGACGAACGAACAAACGAACCAAGTTCCACAAAAAACAATTTAAATCTCAAAAATCTCCCAAACAAAGAAATTGACGTAGTCCTAGCATTACACGTTATATACTTCCTGAACAAACAATCCAGAGCACAATTTTACAAAAAATGTTTTGGTCAGTGGTTAAGATCAGAGGATGGTCTCCTGATTCTAGCGAACGTTACAGATAACCATTCAATGGTCAAGCTAGCGAACTCATTCAAACCATATTCATCATTGACTTCAACAACAATAAAGGACGAATTAATTGAAAATAATGTTAGTATAGTTAGAGAATTCAATTACAGATGTCCGGTTGACATGTCTGTCGATACAGTTGATTTGCATAGACTGTTTAAGTACTCGTTCAAAGATTCAAACCTCAGTGAAGAGAGAATTGGCGAAGCTGTGAAAATCATTGCACCGGATGGCAGGGCTTTTCACGATTGTGATTTGTGCGTCTGCATTAAACTTAACTAATGGTGATTTTTGGTATGGGTTAGGAGATTACTCTTTAAATTTAATTATTCATTTATTCTATTGTTCGTCTATTGATTGATTTATTCATACCACATACTTTCAATCATTTATTTATTTGCACTTTCATTCATTTATTTATTCAATCATTCATTCGTTCGTTCGTTCGTTCATTCATTCATAATTATTTATAAAAAAAAACAATTTAATTTTTATTATTTTTTTTCAAAGACAATATATTTTCATCAATTACTTAATTACTGATGTTTCTATTTATAATATTTATCCTTTGAGAGTTTATTGATGTTGACATCAATTGATCTAACCAATTGACGTGTTATTTTTCTTCTTCTTCTTCTTTTTATTCTTGTTATTAATATTATGTGGTTATTTAGTTTTGTTCTGTATCTTATAGATTAAAAGGAGACGCAATTTGTAACCGAACTTTTTCTAAAATTTTTTTGAACTAGTTCTTTTATTTATTTATATTTAAGCTTTATTTAAGCTCTTTGATACCGAAAAAAAGTAAAATTAGATGTGACAGTCTTAGTAAGTGCCTTTTTTAAATTATTTTTTTTAAAACATACTCAGTTGCTTGGTTAAAATCAAAGATCACAGCTGAAGCAGTAACAAAAATAAGAGTTAAGGTGCCTGGCACTATGAATGCATGCAATGTGAAAAACTGAGAACCCAAACCGAAACAAAACCAACTTAGTAGAGAAAGATCTCTTAACGAAAAGATTTAAAATAAATTAACTAGAATTTTTTAGTGTAATTAAAAAATTTTGATGGTGTAATGTTGATGCAGCGCTTGAGTTTGAATGCTAAGGAAGGATGTCTTTGATGAGACATATATACACCAGTCTCTGCCATATGCACGCATATATGCATGTATGTAGAAACTACAACATAACGAGCGTTCAGCCAGAGTCTTTAGAGGAAGAGTTTCCGTCAACGAGTCTTTCGGCCCTTTAGCTTCCTAACACTCTCGAGAAACAGGGCCACATGCAGAGATCAGTTGGATGTCTCTTGCTGAACAAACAATTTGCCTCGCTTTGAAATCACCTCCTTTCATACTGAAAAATTGTGTAGTAGTGCCAGACAGTTCACATATGAACATATTACGATGTGAGTTACATCGACGAGCCAAGTAAGACGCTAAGCCGAATCTGGGAGTGTTGAGTAATGGGAAGCCTTACGTGCAAACGAGCTCGTCTGTTAACTATTTAAACTCGCATTCCTTTTTCTTCCGACATAACCATCTTCAGTGAGAAGCTTGTTTGGCTGTATGTCCTATGTTCTTCAAACAACTCGATCGTTTTTTACCTGCCAAACCTAAATCCTTCAAAAATCTGTACACTGATTAACCAGCAAGACCTCTTGCACGACCTCAACTGCGTACAACAAGCACCTCAACCCACGTTGACCTATCTCACTAACAAGCTCTTCATACTTGGCTGTTTTGTAGCGTGGCTTGCTGCTATATTAGCCTCATACGGTACAGTCAGTTCGACTAAAATAAACAGTGTCTGTATCCTTTATGAACGATGGGTAGATCCCCATGCCCTCCAAATCTGCCATGACCTTCCAATCTCTGCCGTTATCAAAAATACTTCTTCTGTTGCGAACTTCATTTCTCGGTGTTTGCTCCAACTCACCCTCTCTTAGGAAATAGATTTTTCTTAGTTTGCACGGTCGTCTTGAATTTGCCTCGTCACAAACATTGGAGATGAGTTACACCACTACTTTCAATACTTTGTTGTACCTCCACGTGCATTGTCCAGGACTGAGTGCGTACCAGCAAGAAGCCATTACGTGGGCCACCGTTTCCATTTCTCCACATCAGCTACACTTAGCTTCTCCTGCTACCTTCCATCTAGCAAGATTTGCTGCTGATGATAACTGATCATACATGGCTCTTATAATAATGTATGTATGTTTGTTTGTATGTATGTATGTATGTATGTATGTATGCATGTATGTATGTATGTATGTATGTATGTATGTATGTATGTATGTATGTATGTATGTATGTATGTATGTATGCATGCATGCATGCATGTATGTATATATGTATGTATGTATGTATGTATGTATGTATGTATGTATGTATGTATGTATGTATGTATGTATGTATGTACGTATGTATGTATGTATGACTGTTTGTATGTACGTTTGCACCAATAGATAAATATGATGTATATCTGACGTCATATGAAGTGTCTTAATGAATTTAACTACACCTCAGAAGGATGCTAAGTATATTTTATATTACATCGAACATTTTTACACGAATGATGACACACATCAGTTATAACGCAACAACAACAGCTACAACAACAACCACCACCACCACCTTAACAACAACCACAATAACAACAACAACAACACGTTCACCTAACCTACTTATTTTAAAATATTTTATAACTTAAATTTTTAAATAAAAAGAAGTTTCTTTTAACTCGTAGACAGACTTATTGTTTAGTGAAGAAAAAAATCAAGACAAGTTCTAAGTATCGTCTTGCTGAATGAATGTGCGCTCCTGAAACATAACTATGGCGATGATGATGACGACGATGATGTTAGTCTATCGGGATAGATAAAAATCTCTACACAACTATATATTATAATTTGAATGAATGTTTAAACAATGTTGGGGCTTTAGATGGCTTTTTGTAATTTTTGCTTTGTCTTGTTTTGACTGCAAAAAAAAATATTTCATATTGTATTCATCATCGTCATCTCGTTATCATCGTCATCTTTATTAGTATTGTAATTATTATTATTGTTGTTGTTGTTGTTGTTGTTGTTGTTGTTGTTGTTGTTGCTTCTGCAGTTTTTTCAATTTTTTTTCATTCACTGCTGACAGGTTTTTTGATTAATGATGCTCGCTTAGGAGGGAATAATAACAACATAAATAATAATAATAATAATAATAATAATAATAATAATAATAATAATGATAATGATAATAATAAAAATAATGATAATGATAATAATACAACGACAATTTCATCGTTATCAAAATAAAACAACAACAACAACAAAAATATCAACAGAAGAAGACGCTAACTACCTACATCTTATAAAAACAACAACAACTACTACAACTACTACTACTACAACCACAACAACAACTACTACTACTATTACGACCACAACAACAACAACAGCAACTAAAACAACAACAACAACATTATCATTAACATTCAAAACACAATTACATGAAACACATTAAATCAATTAATAATGTTTGTTTGGGCTTTGCCATAAATAATACTGCACCATCTTCTTAAACATTACTACTACTACTACTACTACTACTACTACTACTACTACTACTACTACTACTACTACTGCTACTGCTACTACTACTACTACTACTACTACTACTACTACTACTACACTACTACTACTACACTACTACTACTACTACTACTACTACTACTACTACTACTACTACTACTACTACTACTACTACTACTACTACTACTACTACTACTACTACTACTACTACTATACTACTACTACTACTACTACTACTACTAATAATAATAATAATAATAATAACAATAATAACAACAACAACAACAACATAAACAACAGCTACAAAATCAAAATTGAAACAACGGCAACTGCTTGTTGGGAAAATATATTATATTGCCCGATTCAACGTGTCTCTTATCTGCAAATTGTCTCCTCTCCATCTTCATAGACATCATCGTCTTCAGCTCCAGCTCCAGCTCCATCCTTATCATCATCATCGTCATCATCGTTGTCGTCATTATCATCTTCTATATATTTATCACCACCACCATTACCATCACCACTACAATCACCACCACACCACCACGACCACCCCCACCAGCAATGAAACAAACTCACCAATTGTAGAATCCCACAGGGCACGACGAATACAGCCAGCAGGAAATCTGTCATCGCCAGACTTGCAATCACCGTGTTCAGGAGATTGTTCAAATTCCTGAACCTCAGAACTGCTAACATGACAAAAACGTTCCCAATTATAATCCATAGCGGGACTATTATTAATAACAGGAATGTGTAATCCGTGTTGTCGTTGTTGTTGTTGTTGTGGTAGTAGCTGTTGTAGTTGTTGCTGTTGTGGTAGTAGTAGTTGTTGCTGTTGTGGTAGTAGTTGTTGCTGTTGTGGTAGTTGTTGTTGTTTTGGTGGTGGTAGTAGTATAAGTTGTCGTTGTTGGCTGATGTTGTTCGAAAGATGAAGTTGTTGTCGGTGTTGCTGTTGTCGTTAATGAAATTGTTGTTGTTTTTATTGTTGTTGTTGTTGTTGATGTAGTTAACCGTTGTTACCCCAATGTCATAGATTATATTGTTGATATTATTGGAAGAAAAAACATTATTATTATTATTATCATTATTATTCTTATTGTTATTATCGAATAATTCCAGATAGTTATGATGATTTTGTGACTGAAAACGGTAAGGACCGAAATGTCTAGACGAGTATGACGTCATCTGTGACATCATTGTACTTTGACGACGACGATGACGATGATGATTATCACCACCGCAACAACAACAACAACAACAACAACAACACGGATTTAAATATTAATTTACTATTATTATTTTTATTACTTGTTGTTATTATCATTGTTGTTATTGTTGTTATTAACGTTGTTGTTGTTGATGTTGTTGTTGTTGCTGTGATAAATTTTGGAATTACTAAATAATGATTCTCTGTAAAAGAAATTTGTATCAACTATTTATTGTATATAATTATTATTTAATTGAGTTTTATAAATTATTATTAATTACGACTACTTTTTAAATTAAAATAAAAATAAAATAATTAATTAACTAATTTTATTAATCAAACCAATCAAATTAATTAATTAAATTATCCCGAAGCAACTGAACTTTATTAGTCATTACTAAAAATTTTGCCGTGAATACAATTAAATGAAGAGATGCATATACATATATATATACATACCACACACAAAGAGAAAGAAAGAGATAAAGCGAGAAAGAGAAATAAAGAGAGAAAGAGATAAAAAGAGAAAGAAAAAAATAAAGAAAGAGAGAAAGAGAGAAAGAAAGAAAGAAAGAGAGAGAGAGAGTGAGAGGGAGAAAAAGAAAGGTTTGCTGTTTTGCAGCATTTCGTCATTGTATCGAGTTGTATTGCATTGTTTTGAATTGTATTTTTTATAAGAGAGAGAGAAAGAGAGAGAGAGAGAGAGAGAGAGAGAGAAAGAGAGTGAGAGAGAGAGAATGAAAAAGCCATTGAAGCCATTGAAAGAGAACAAGAGAGAGAAAGAGAGAGAGAGGGAAAGAGAGAGAAAGAGAGAGAAGTATTTTCAGCCCAAATATAAATGTACGGTACAATAAATTATCCACTTGATCGAATTTCGAAATATCCGACCGGTCAATTTATACGAATAAGGAGCCGGATATAACATAGGTTAATTAGACTAAAGATTTTTTCTTCAACTATAAATTGTATTGTATTGTAATGTATTCTGCTTTGTATTTGTCTGGATTATTAGTATTGTATGCATTGTATTGTGTTTTGTTGTATTGCATACCTACATGTAAAACAATGAACATTTAGAGAACATAGAGAACAATTGCGTATTTAGAAAGATTTGTTTATAGGGAATGTAGCAAAATAATGATAATTAAGGGTGATGCTTGTATACTTCCGTGTGTTTCCATCTCTCTCTCTCTCTCTCTCCCTCTCTCTTCCTTTTTATTCTTTTCTTTACACACACACACACACACACACACATATATATATATATATATATATATAGAGAGAGAGAGAGAAAAAGAGAGTGATAATTTTAATAATTTTAGTACATGTATGCATGCATATATAGTAATCTAAATATAGAATGATTACGTATGTTTTTGTTTATAAATAGTCACACTAAAAAATACATTACTTAAGTATTGTAGCTATATATATATATATATATATATATATGTATATATATTATATAGATTATATATATTATATATATAGATTATATATATTATATATATAGATTATATATATATATATATATATATAATCTGATGTTTATAAGATAGCACACACACGCGCACACACACCACACACACATACACTCACACACACACACACACATGAACATACAAACAACTCTACTTTAAGGACCAACAAACGTCTCCATAACATACAAACACACACACAAACACACACACGCACACACACACTCACACACACATGCAAACACACACTTACACGCATATACACACGCACACGCATACACATGCCGGTGTGACCACCCTGTAATTAATGCCATAAAGGAGCAACATCGTGTAGAAACGCACCGTACTATATCCAATTATTTGCTTGATGATGATGCAAATAATGCTGGTTGGTTGGTTGGTCGGTTGGTTGGTTGGTCGATTGGCCTGGCTGGTTGGTTGGTTGGTTGTATAGCTGGTTGATTGATTAGTTAGTTGATTGTTCATATGGCTGGCTGGTTAGTTGGATGGTTGAATGGTTAGTTGGATGGTTGATTGGTTAGATGGATGGTTGGTTGATTGGCCATCACCATCCCTTTCCGCAAAAAATGAACACGTGACGTCATTATGACCACATTAGGTTTGCATGATTCAATAAAAGACCGACAGTCAAACCGTGTGATGTCCGGCTGATGAAGTCCGAATGCTCTGCGCTACAAAAATTTTACTTCCGGTTTTTGTCTTTTTTTTGTCTGCTGTCTAGGATATTAAACAACACAAAATTATTATCAACATTAATGGGCGAGTCGTTTCTAGTTCGATTTCGACTATTAAACTTTGAAACATTTCAAACACTAGCTAATACTCAACACACCAAAGTCGCTATTTAGAGTCATCTCTCATCATTATTTTACGTACATAATCAGTATCGAGTCATTTAACGTTGAGCGAGCGAGTTTACAGAAACAGAAAGAATTTCTCCAAGAACAAGCGAGCATTATAACAAACTGTACACACATACACACGTACACACACACACACGCACACAAACACATGCACACACACACACATGATGACTACTAATAATAGAAGATTCACCCGCTATAATTGTGCCATAAACCACGGTAATGCTTACACATAATTCTTTTATTATTATTTTATTATTATTAATGTTATTATTATTATTTTTATTATTGTTATAATTATAATTCCAGATGTGGGTGCTATGTCCTTATAATTACCATACTAGTTTTTTTCGTAATCGATAGGGCGGAGATTTCACTTGCGTTTGAACTGTCTGGCACTACTACACAATTTTTCAGTATGAAAGGAGGTGATTTCAAAGCGAGGCAAATTGTTTGTTCAGCAAGAGACATCCAACTGATCTCTGCATGTGGCCCTGTTTCTCGAGAGTGTTAGGAAGCTAAAGGGCCGAAAGACTCGTTGACGGAAACTCTTCCTCTAAAGACTCTGGCTGAACGCTCGTTATGTTGTAGTTTCTACATACATGCATATATACGTACATTATAAATTTTCAGGATCAAGAGATTAATTAATTCATTAGCACAATTTGGTCTTCAGTTGCAGAAAGTTTCAAAGGTTGAAATAAAATCACGGAACGTGTTTTCGAATGGAGTGTGCATAACATCATAACATCATTTCGACCAAGTGAATGGTTTTTATAGGGTAATTTTTGTTAGGAGAATGTTGTTGAAAGGTTGTTTTTTATAATTAATGGCAAACAAAATTGTTTTTTTTTATGATTGTCTAACATAATTATAAGAATTGAATAATTTTATTAAAGCTATATAATAGAGTTATTTTCGGAAATTTTGGAATGAATTTTGAAAAATTTTGTGTGGCTGGGCGGTTAAAGCGTCTGGTTATGCAGTTGTAGTTACGGGTTCGAACACCAAGAGATCCACAACTATCACACGTGTGAGATGTGTAGATTTATTGTGTGTATGTGTGCCTGTGTGTGTGTGTTTTTGATAAATGTTTTCTACATTTTTAGATTTGAAAATTTCAGAATGATTTGCGGGATTTTGGAAAATGAAAACTGTAACTATCAGTTTAAGTTTATTTTCTAAGGATTACAAATCTGTGTAATTCTGAATTGAAAGAACATTGTGAGAACAAAAAAACGCTAAAAATGAAAAGAACTGATGGCAAACATATTGAAAAATAGAAAAAAAACATAAGAATGAACAACAAAATAGTGGAAAAAATTACTTGAAAACAGCCAAAACTTCCTCCATGTTCTTTAATCCACGCAGCAATGGTACAACACGTATCGGATATTTTTAAACATCTTCCCAGAACCATTGCATCATATCTGTCGACTTTTTGTATTTTTTTTTATCTGTGGTACTTCGTTATAATTCTCAATCTTATTGTAAGTTTTTTTTAACTTTTCGGTCCTACTTTTATCTCTTCTTATTTTACTATTTTTTTATTGTTTTTCTCTTTCTGTTTTCCTTTATCTCTCTTTCTCTCTTTCATTCTCATTCTCTCTCTCTTTCATTCCTATTCTTTCTCTCTCTCTCTTTTCTTTCTCTTCCTTGATTCTCTATTTTTCTTATTTATTTTCACCATCACTTCATTGTACTTTTATCTCTATTTTTTGTTGTCTCTCTCTCTCTCTCTCTCTTTCTCTCTCTATTTACCTCCATCTCTCTCTCTCTCTCTCTCTCTCTCTGTCCCTCTCTCTTTCTCTCTCTTACACACACACACACACGCATTCTCTTTCTTTTCACTGTTAGTTGTCATTGCAATAATTTTTTTTCGTACCGGCTTCTACTTCACAGTTTCTACCTGTCTTGCGATTGGTTAATGATTATTATCTTTGTTCGCTTTAAAATCACCGTTGATAAATCTGTTAATCTTCCAACATTCAGCTTTCAATCAGCTGTTGAATGATTTGACCCTGTCTGGAAAAAAATATGGCCTAAAGAGCAAGGTGCCTGATAGTTCTGCTGCAGGTGCCGAGTACGATTGCAAGGAGATCCACACTCTCACTCTCCTACCACATGCAATGTTCGTCGGTTCACCGCTAAAACGTTTGTGCATGTACAGTGTCTGCTTTGTTTCTGAAGACTTCTGAAAAATAACAACAACGACAGCTACAACAACAGCAGCTGCAACAATAGTAGCTACAACAACAGCAGCTGCAACAACAACAGCTACAACAACAACGACAACAACAGCAGCTAAAACAACAGCAGCTGCAACAACAGCAGCTACAACAACAGCGACAACAACAACAGTAGCTGCAACAACAACAGCTACAACAACAACGACAACAACAACAACAGCTACAACAACAGCAGCTGCAATGACAGCAGCTGCAACAACAGCAGCTACAACAACAGCAGCTGCAACAACAACAGCAGCTACAACGACAGCAGCTGCAATGACAGCAGCTGCAACAACAGCAGCTACAACAACTGCAGCTACAACAACAGCAGCTGCAACAGCAACAATAACACTATTAATAATAACAACAACAATTGTAATTATAACCGTAATAATAACTCATCCTTGATATAAATATATATTTTAAAACTTTGAAAAAGTTGTACCTATGGCTTTCATAGTTAAATATTTCACTAAAGTTCTTTTAAAATATAAATGATATGTTGTCTGAAGTGCTTTGAAATGAGATGCGTTCGAAACCAGATGTCACTATCTAAAGATGAATGAATGAATGAAGGAATGAGTGAACGAATTGAAAGATGGATGGATAAATAGATGATTGGATGAATAAATGAAAGCATGAAGGAATAAACAAACGAACGAATAAGTGAAAGAAAAAATGAATGAATGAATGAATTAATGAGCCAATGAATAAATAAATGACTGAATGGATGGTGAATGAATGAATGAATAAATGAATTAATGAATAAAAGAATGAAAAATCAATGAATGAATGTATTAATAAGAGAACAAATGAATGATTTTTTTTCCTTCACCACCATAGGAGTATGTATATTCATTTTTACTCGTATATTTTTTAGGAAAGGACACCTATTGATGTTGACGGATCGTGACGTCACGATTACGTCATCATTAGCGAGAGTGAAATGCGATGGAGGATGCGCTTTACGTGGAGGTATGCTATGCAAACACAAACACACACACACACACACATTAAAACACTCACACACACACAAACAGACACACACACACACACTCACGCACACACACGCACACACACACAC